AGTTTTTTATTTTAGAGTCTATTATCAATACAACTAAAGAACTTTCATTGGGTTCCTCCTATAATTTGTCTAAAGAAGGTATGACTACAAACATGGCTATTTATTTACAGAAAAAATATGGTATAACAAAACAAAATTTCAGAACATATTTAGATACAAATAATGAAGTAAGAAATTATATATTTAATATGTAATACTACTATATCATAATAAAATAATACCCCAGCGCATTATTTCATGATGATATAGTCTTTTTTTATTAAAGTCATAAATAACAATAGGCTTTCTTAAATTAGCCGAAAGAAAGTCAAGCACTTTTACCATAGTGCAGTAAAACCAGGCAACAAGAATTGGCACATTTTTTAATTAAATTCATAATAAAATTTGTACTGCTTTTATATGTCTTTCAGGATAAGAATTTTCATGAATTTGTTCATAGTTGTAAGCCTAGATTTCATATTCCATGCAATAAAACAGCCAAAAAATTAATTTATGAGGCATATTCATGGAGCACAGATAAATTACATGACTTGATTTCTAATACATGTATCTCAATTCACTTTACGACAGATCTTTAGACAGCTAAGAGCAACAACAGATATATTGGAGTAACAGCTACTTGGCTTAGTTCAGATTTTAAATTTTATGAGGTTTTACTTACTTGCAATGTTTTAGATCATTCATATACTGGTGAAATTGTTAGTGAAAAGTTGTACCGTATTATTTAGCAGTGGAACCTTACCAACAAAATTCTTACTATTACTACAGATAATGGTGCAAACATGGTGAAATCAGTTCATCTTCTTAAGAATTCTTTGTCACTTGTAGAAAGGCAACCTTGTGCGGCTCACATCTTGCAGTTGTCTGTACAAGAAGGTTTAAAGCAGTGTAAAAACATATATAGACGTATCAAAAGTTTACAATTATTTTTTAAGTCACTAAAACAGGCACAACAATAAGAGAAGCACAACGTAAAAGTAATACAATTGAAAATAATGAAAATATTAAAATACAAATAAGTCCTTTAGATGTATTACTTGATACCAAAACTCAGTAGAATCTACCTTTTTTGCATAGAAATGGCTTCTTGAATTATATAATTCAATATGTTTAGTTTTAGCATCATTGCTAGCAAAGCCTGATCGTACATTTCAGTTAGAAAGAAAAAAGTTAAAAAAATTATGTTTAATGGTTGAAGAAAAAATGTAAGTATAAAAAAATTCTTATATTAACCTAATCTTGGTATAATAAACCAGAAAATGCTCAATATCTTACATATGTATGTAGCCCAACAGAAAGAAACATTTTGTTACACATATAGCTTAACCGGTGAGGGATTATATCTATAATATACATTATAAAATTGAATTCAATATAAATAATTTTATAATTAATTGATTATATCATGTGTGAGATTAGATGTGTAATATTAACTGTTATAGTCTCCAGGCTTGTACATTTTTATATCATATGGGCAAAAATTTTTAATAGAATATAATTAATCACAGAATTGAAGATTTTCACCAATATGTTATAATTTATATAGCTTCATGCTTGGCAAGATAGCTTCGTGCTCGGCATTATATTATCATTATGATTCACTACAACTCTCAACTTAAATGTCAAAATGATTCATTGATTTGGAATTTAAGCTTATAATGATAAATATTTTTTTTTTAGTTTTTATTTATTTTATTTATTATTTTTTTATTATTTATTTTACTTCTTTTTTTTTTTATTTTTTTTATTTTTTTTTATTTTACTTTATTTATTTTTTTTTTATTTATTATTATATAATCTTTTAATTAAGCTGTTTATTTTTTTCAATTTAATACTAATTTTTATTAAATTTATTTATATATATTAGGTTCATTGAAGAAATAATCAAATTGCTAGAACTATTTGAAACAATAACATGGCAATTATCAGATATCTCGTATTCAACATTAAACATAGTTCATCTATATATATACTTGTTAAAGCAAATATTTGCTTCAAGAATTAAAGATGATAAAATGGTTAATAGCTATTTAGACTTAATTTATGGGCTCTTGATATCAGATAATAACTTGGAAAATATTGAAGATAATAGTGATGATTCAAGTTCTACAAGTGACAATGATAATATTCTAACTGCAGGAAATTGACAACATTTGCAACATGCATATCAACAATTTAAACGATGAGTGAAAAGTACACATGGTCGTGGTCGTAGTTAAGGTAATGTTATAAATCATTAATTAATAAGTTTTTTTTTTTGTTTTTTAGTTAACAACTAGTCGCAACTAATTGGTTAGTCAAAAAATTGCAACTAATTAACTGAGCTTGGTACTGAGAAAAGAGATGAATTTAACAAAAAAAAAATATGTACAAAAAATTAATTATCTCATGAACTATCTGATGAATCAAATGTTGCTTAAATAATATGATTCTGATTGATAATTAATGAGATAATTAATTTTTCATGCATATTTTTTTTTGTCAAATTCGTCTCCTTTCTCCCATTAATTAATTTTTCAATCATTTTTTCACCTTTGAATTAATACTAGATCGGGTCAGGGTCAGGATCGTGGTTGTGGTCATAGGCCCATAGCTAATCAAGATGAAAATGAAATTGCAAATCATATTGAATACTTACCACTAGCCAGCACAGAAAATCTTATACAAAGAGTTTGTGCTGCTATATATCTTTCTTTAGACAAATTATAGGAGGAACCCAATGAAAGTTCTTTAGTTGTATTGATAATAGACTCTAAAATAAAAAACT